AATTCCCCAGCCAGCATGGCTGGCTGGGGAATTCTGGGAGTTGAAGTCCACATATCTTAAATTTGCTAAGGTTAAGAAACACTGGCCTAGATGCTATGATATATTATAGTCAAGTGGGATAGTCTTGCTGGACTCTTTTGCCTTTAAATGCTCTACATGGCTGTCAAAACCTCACCCTCTTTTCTTCTGCACCTGGCTGGCAATGGCAGTTTAGCAAATACTCTTCCTTCTCACTATTGCAATCTAAGATCCACTTCGCAGTCAAGGATCACCCCCCCTTTTGGGAAATCTTATAGCCTGGTTTGGAATTCAAGACAAAGAGCAAATCTAAGACAAATCCAGGATGACCCCAAAAATCAGGAGCCCAGGAGCACTTTTCCAGCTAACCCATTTTATTAAAAGATATAAACTTTTGTGAGCTGCAGGTCACAAACAGCCTTTTAATAAAGTAGGTCAGCAGGAAAAGATGCTACCAGACTCCTGATTCTTTTGCCACTGTTGACGATCACAGCTTTATTCTACCATATTCAGAAGGACCAAGGGTTTGTGTTCTGATGTCAGTGTCACCAAATGTCCTCTTTCCGTGCAAGCCCCACGGCTTTCATGCAATTATGCTGCATGAACTTTGGACTTGTATGTCTGCAACTAGAGTTCTATCCATATCATTAAAACAGCAGCAGGCAAGAGCTGGGGGGGGGTACACTTTTTAAATTAAAAACAAAGGTGACTTAGCAACACTAGCTAGTTGCTAGTCAGGGATGAAAGACTGGCACTTTTTCGTTTTTCATTTGGCTTGAAAGTGGGGTAAAATGCGAAGCCAGGTTGGTCTAGTGGTTAAGGCAGCAGGCTAGAAACCAGGAGACCATGAGTTCTAGTCCCACCTTAGGCATGAATCCAGCTGGGTGACCTTGGGCCAGTCACTCCCACTCAACCCTAGGATGAAGAAGACCAGGGCAAGCCACTTCTGAAATCTTGTCAAGAAAACTGCAAGGACTTGTCCAGGCAGTTGCCAGGAGTCAACGTTGACTCAAAGGCACACATACCCACACACACAAATGGCATAGGACCTAGTAATGGAGAGACTGCCTATCTTCCATAGTATCTGTCCAGACAATTTGATCTGGCAGGGTTGGCATGCTCTGGGTTCCATCGATGAAACAGTGCCGTCTATCAAGAATGCCTTCTCTGCCATAGCACCTGCCTTCTGGGATGAGGTTCCCTCTGAGATCCAGTTGGCCCTCAACCAACTGGTATTTCAGAGAGCCTTAAAGACCTGGCTCTTCACCCAGACCTTTGGCAAGGATGATTGAAGCCCCCTTATGGGTAATGTAGGTTTGTTTTGGTAGTTGTCCAGGCGTGCCATCTTTTGTTTAATTTTATTGCTCAGCGTGTTCTTATCTCTGAACCGCCCAGAATTGGGCAGTGTAAAAATCAAATCAATCAATCAATCAATCAATCAATCAATCAATCAATCAATCACTTTAAACTTAAAGCCCCGATTTTGCACCTTGGCACAAAAAAAGTAGGTAAAAGGCACCCCTGCATTGGTGCAAGGATTTTGCACATAGGTTAGTGCACACATTTTTAGCATGGCCAAAGAATGGAGCTCAAGGGTGTGCATGATGGGGGGAGGGCTTTGGACAAGTGGGGAAGAGCAGTTAAAGTTTGGTTCAGGCTATTACCTACTTTTGTGTCATGATCCATGTTCACTGGGAGCCAACCGGGGCCAATCCATATCACAAATGTGTGTATCCACGCACACAAGATCATAATATTCTCCCCACCCACCCCCATGGCATATCTAAGGCTTATTCTTTGGGAAGCAATGTAGGTAGGTTGGTAACAGTTCATGAGAAAAGGATCTTGGAATTGTAACCAATCGCAACTTAAATAAGAGTCAGCAGGGTGAGATGGCTGCTAACATGGAATAATAAAGGCAATATTAGCTGCAATAATGAAAGTATAGTTCCCAAATCGTGGGAAGGAACGTCTCACTATTCTACTCAACCATTGTGTCCAGTTCTGGTCATCACATGTCAAAGAAGAGTCAGAGAAAGTGGAGCAGGTGCACAGAAAGGCAACAAAGATGTGCAGAGCACTGGAACATGAGTCTTACAAGGAAAACTGAGTGTTTAGCCTTGAGAAAAAGCCAGCTAAAAGAAGAACATAAGAACACTTTCCAAGTAACTGGTGTCATGCAGAAGACTGCCAAGACTTGTCCTTTATTGTCGCAGGGTGCAGGAATGATAGAACCATCTTAAAATACAGGAAGGCAGAATTCAGTTAAACATTAGGAAATGCTTTCTAACAAGATAAACCGTTTCATAGGGGAGGTAATGGTATGTGGGAAAGACCTTGGGAGACTGGGCCAAGAGACGCTGCCACAGGAATGGTCAGATAAGAGACAGCATAGCCCACAATTGGATAGTGGATGGGGCAAGAGGCTCAGAAGGGACCCTCCCTTGTTTCTTGGGCTGTAAAGGAGACAGTGGGAGATTTGTACTTTCAGACTTGCAAGATTCTGTTAATGTAGCTTTACAATGAAGTAGAACTAGCTTATCTGGTCGTGTTTCCTGTCTGGTCTACCTAGTAAACCTGACAGGTGGCAATGAGGTCTTCTTCACTGGATGTATTCAAGCAGAAGCTGGAAGGCCATTTGTTTGAGATGTTATATCTTGGATTCCTGCACTGGGTCTGGACCTGAGAACCTGAAGGGCCTCTTGTGCTTCTAGGATTCTATGATAGGAAGCCTACTCAGCTAGTTCATGTGAAGGCGCACCTGAGAAAACATTTTAGCCTGCCTAGAACACATTGCTCACTACCCACGTCTTGGGATGCGCCATTCGCAGCTCTTGTGCTCTTGACGGTGTCTGCAGCAAGACACGTTGTTTTTCAGGGGCACACCCTCTCGTGGCACACTCCACTTCAACGTTATCTTGATGCAGTGCCATGTTCTCCCCAACAGCATCCTGGAGACAGCGTTGCCTAGCAACCTGAATGAACAGTATCTCTCTCAAGAACACTGCTATCTTTGGAGTATCTGAAAATCTCGTAGTGATTTAGCTGCCTATCTCAGCCCTCAATCACCGTGGCACTCTCCTGCAAATGCAACTCTCGGTGCCACCATCTCTCTCCTACATCAAGCATGGGTGCCTCCATGAGCACGCACACAACACACAACCATTAGCGTTCACAATGCTGCAATGATCTTTCCACACATGTGCATTTAATAGAAAGGTGATATAAGAATACATTTTTCTTATTAAGGCAAGTATCGTATTTGCTTACAGCTATCATCTTCAAGAAGGGGTTCTGCATTCTCTTCCATGGATAACTCAGGGGGTAATCCTTGAGGACCATTTGGCCCATGAATCTCCTCTACTTGGCTCAAAAAGTGCCCTGGTCCTGACATGCTCCCTTCCCCAAACCATCTCCTTCTTCCAAAAGTTATTTCCAACCTTGAGTGAAGGTATTCCAGTTAGATGGCATTATCCAACTTGTTGTGGGAGGGGAAGAGCTACAGCCATGTGGGTATAACCAATCAGGGATCCATCACAACCAAGTCTCAACTACAAGGCATCCTGAGGTCCTTTCTGTGCTAAGAGGTTTCTCCTTCCATTCCATCTCCATTCCTAGAGTTCTCAGCACAACATTCGTCTGAACTGTGATTTATCTTACCCAGCAACATTCTGCCCAATTATTTTTAGAGTCATAAATCATCCGCCAGGCAAGCATCGCCATTCCTGTTTTAATTAGCACGGTGGAGTGAGAAAAGCTACTTGTGAATGAGGCTGGTTCCCCTGCACCACTGTTTTAATCATTTCTCACTGCATTTGGCACGTCCCAGGGGAAATGGACTTTTCTACAATCTTGTTCCAAATTCATGACTCTGAGATAGCGACATGCAGGTTAGTCAAGCTGTTTTACTGATCACATCCATAAGACAGTATTCCAGTGCACCAGTAGATTTTCCCTTTTTTAAAAAAGAGTCATTAAACAAATTTGCACCCATTTATATTAGCAGCAGACTCTAATTCTGGGTTATCCTGCAGGATGGAAAGTCAGGGATAAATTATGTAAATCAACAACATCTTAGTTTGTATCACTAGAAATAGTTGTGGTGCTACCTCCCAACAATGACGCAAACTTTTCTCCAAGTCTTAAAAAAGAAAAAACAACAACTGAAAATAACTCTTCTCTCAAATTGTATGGCCTGCTCAGTTTTATAGTTTTCAGCATAGATCATTTTTCTGGTGCCCATCAGAATAAATTTTGGATTTATTCCCCGTGTGATGTCCTGCACAAAATAATTAAATACAACTCAACTGATAATGACATAAATATCATTGAATTGATTAAATAAATATGTATTTATTTCCTTACTTGGCCCGGCTAGGTTCAATCTTGCAGGGATCAAGCTCCACATACTTCTTCTCCTCAAAGATCCGGTGAATGAGAACTTTGAGAACTTCGTGGAGGTAGGGCATTCCCACCACCTAGAAGGGACCGTGAGATTGGGGAGGTGAGGAAGGCAAGGAAAACATGTGGGTCAAACAAAGAAACAGGCAGTAAGAGCTGCTCCATGGCATGGGGCTGGGCTATCTGAGGGACCGCCTCTCCCCGATTTCATCTGCCCATCCTCCCAGATCCAGCAGAGAGGGCATGTTATGGGTTCCATCGTCTAGGGAGCTACATTCAGCAGGCCCCAGGTGGTGGGCCTTTTCTGCTGTGGCACCTGCACTGTGGAATCTTCTCCCTCCTGAGGTGAGGTTGGCCTCATCATTGTTGAGTTTCCTGAGGTCCCTTGGTTATGCCAGCAGGCCTGGGGACCCCAGGGGACAGAGGAATTAGTGAGGCGACTCCCTTATTTTTAACATCCTTTTATTCTCTGTTTTATTTTGCTTTTTATATTTTTAATGTATGTATTGGTCGTTTTTAGCTTTGTTGTATGCTGCCCAGAGTCACCTGTGGTGAGATGGGCGGCTATATAAATAGGTTTCATAAATACATTTAATAAAGGAAAAGGAAAATTATACTCCAAAATTGCCTTTTAGTGAGATGGATGAAGTGCATATCTTTACTACAGATTAAAAGGAGATTTAGATCATTTTTTGCCCTTTTAACCTCAACGTCTTCCAAAGAACCCCGTGAAGGGGATCAGAATTAGGGATTCCAAAGTTTTGCAGGGGGTAAGACAACTCTTGAGCTTCCTAGGTAGAGAACGGGACTGCCTTTCATTGTGACAAACCATGTTATTGTCCACTCTGAAGGGTGTCTGCTCTCTTGGGATTCAGGCAAACTGGAGATGCAGGGGGTGGAACTGCCTACAATGATTTATAATTGAATGACTGAATGAAAGATACTTCAAAACCTGCAGAAACCACTTTAAATAGGGTTGAATAGCATCATTTTGTTCCTGAACTATTGAAGCCTACAAAAACATCCCCTAGAGAGGCATGTTATGGCTTCATTTACAAAACAGCTATCTTTTTTTTTTTAGATGATGTTCAAGCCAATCAGGGAACACACACATCATGGGATAATGTGCCACTAAGCAACTAGGTTTGATTACATGATGATTATCACTAATCCAGGGTGCAATGAAACATTTTCACAAGGGCTTTGTGGCCTTAGCTTGTACCCCCTTCTTTTCACAATGGCAACTGATTCGGTTGGAATCCAGCCTTACCCCCATCCCACTCACCCCCCAAAATTGGCACAGGAATCAATCCACATGAAAACCTGGCACCCTCAAGTTGAAACATGTTCTGTGATTCATAGTTTAGACTTCTTTCTAGCAATTTTGAGACAGATTCTTCTGCTTCCACCTCCCCCATCCAAATCATTCTCTCTGTGTTCTTCTACTCCCCACTCACCTTCATGAATTGCTCCATGGATTTGGAGGCTAAAGAGTTGGAGCGGAAGAGAGTGTTGGGATCCACTGAAAAAAGAAAACATAGAAATTTGACACTTCTCCTCTAATTATTATGAGTAAGTGACGCCCATGATCATCATTTCTCATTGAATTTGGCATTCTACCACTACCAGCAGCCAACTCATCTCATCCATGATCTTGTGTTTAAAATAAGCAATTCAACACTTCCCCATCACTCACTGTAACTTTCTTGGCTCATGTTTCAAATTCTCTTATGATTACTTAAATTTCACACAATTTAAAACTAGCTTTAAGGCTTCCATTCACTCCCTAAACGTCCTATAGGCTCCCCCAAAACAGCCCTGTTCATTTGATATTGGATGCAGTAGTTGGTTACAACCTTGGCCAAGCTTCTGGCTGGGTTCCTGAGTCACTCTGTTGAAATACAACTTGATATATGAAGCCACTTACTTGTTCTTGAAATCTCACGGAAATTCAGATAATCCAAAAAGGGTATAACCAGGCCCTGCCCAAGGAAAATCTTGACAAGCTTGGTGGATACATCTTGACGACTCTCCACCAAACATACTTCTTCCAGAAGGGCTAGTGGGGTCAGGTCCTCTGCCTCCTGCAGAGTAACATACTATTTATCAATAACATACAACACCTATGTTTAGGTGTATTTTAAATTTGCCTTCCTGGTGCTGAAAAGGGCCTTGAGTACAATCATTTGGTGAGGATGTTGATGAGTCCATAATAGTCCTGTGCAAATCAGGTAAGCTCTAATTTGAATCTTCAGTTTGATTCAAATAATTGAATCAATTCAGTTTGCGATTTCATTCAATTTTGTGCTTCAGAACTTCGTACTGATTCAGTTAGAAATTTTTATCTGATTTGTTGAATCTGTGCGTATATGCAAAAGTCTGTCAAATATTTGAATCAGTTTAAAGGTATCCAACACACTGATATGAAGGTTTGACTTGAAATAATAATTGGATCAAACCAATTATTGAATGTGCATTATTGATGTAAATCCCTTGTGAGAATGAGTAGCTCTTGACATCTTAAGTCTTCAGATTTGAGATGGACTTCTCAAGAGCAACTCCTGCTCTCCTAGGGCACTCTCCAAGGTCCTGTAATCTCAAATTATCCATATATAGAAAACTTTGCTCTTTCCTGCTTGCATTGTACCTGTTGATAACAAAACTGGAACTAACAGCCCTTGGCTATGAATGCAATTTATGTGAAGAGCTATCGTTATTTTAGCTTGATATATTTTCCTGTTATATTGGTTGGGTTCAGACATCCTGCTAAGCCTAATGTAATTTTTCTGGTTGAGGTTTAACCTGATGTGTGAATCCAAATCCATTGTTGTTTTTAAGCTATAATTTACAGCTTTGCATTATCTACAAACCCAGCCAACATGAATGATCCAACAAACCAGAGTTAAAACCAGCCATGGCTTAGATTAATTCCTTTATTCATATTCATTTTGCCGCATACTTAGGATATGTTGGGCCCAGCCCAAGAACAATGATGAAATAGTCCAGTCCAATACATTTCCTTTATTAGCTCACATCTTATAGACAGAACCTTGCTAGACTAAATTTATACTACAGCAACTAGTGGATATACCCTGGGAGATTCTAGGGAGTGGCTATCCTGAACCTCTTTTGCTTCCCACACTCCTCTTGAGGACTATATTTTCTCTCGTTCCCCTCCTGGAATGCAACCCCTCCCTTCTGATAGCCTTGATCTC